TTTCAGTTTTTGACCATTTAGTATGATATTGGCTTTAACATGCACTTCTTAACCTCATCATCACATAAAGAGAATTCTTCCTGTTGTTTTGTTTTTTTAAAAAATAGCTATAAAGTAAGCATTTTTATGTCAGTCGACTTTGATGGCAGATTTTTTTTTCTACCTGTTCATTTTGCAATAGTTGTGGAGAAGTACAAATTATTACTTTTGACTCTCAGTTTTGGCTGTATTTATGTCTCTAATTTACATCTTCCTAGGGGACTCATTCTACCCTTCTCTACTTCCCACACACTTCCTCTGGCCTACTAAATGTATCAATTAGGTTGTAGACCTGCTAGATTTACAAGGCTTTTGCAATGTGAAAACTACCTTGCCTGTGCATTTTCCATGGTCATCTTGTGCAGGGCTTGGGGAAGGACCCACATTCCAGGGTAAAGGTGGCCCTGAGCAGACAGGGACAGGGAGCAGAGCTAGGAGGAGGGCAGGAGACTACACAGGGCAAGTCTGAGGAGCACAGGGAAGAGTCTCTCGTACTTTCTGCTTTATTTCTTAAACAAAAAAGAGAAAATATTAAAAAAAAAAAAAAGACAAAGAAGCAAGTGAAAATAACATGTATTTACTTTGAACATGAAAAGAAACCACAATGAATCATGTTTTTTATCCAGAATGAATCCTTGTTAACCTTTTGGTTTCTATCCAACTTTTAAAATGTACATTTATTTGAATAAAATCTGAATTGTACAAAAATCCTGATGTGTAATTTGTTTCATTCTTCCCCTTTATGCCACATGAAGAAGATTTCTACATGTCATTAAATATGTATCCAAAGTTTTTAATAAGTCACATAGTATCATAACTTATGGGTATGCCACACATTTAGACTACTCATAATTTATCATCATTGTTAAAATGTTAGTATGAAAATCCTTGTACCTAAATCTTGCATATATCTCTGACTATTATTTATGATAAATGTGAAATAGAATTACCAGGTAGAAATATCAGAACATGTTCCAAACTGCCTTCCACAAAGTCTGTTCCAATTTATAAATGTCCGAATGAACCCTCTCTCACACCCTTGCCAACACTAGCATTGTTACTTTTCCCCTTTAACCTGACAATTTTAAACACAAATACAGCATCATTGTCCCCACTCTGCTTTGTGTTCATGCCCCTAGACTCTCTGACCATTTCATTGCTCCATATCAAAAGATCCCATAGTAGTTTTGCTCTCTCTAGCTCCTAACTGGCTGCTGGGATTTGATGAAAGCAAGGTGTAAAGGCTGCTGAACCTGGGTGGTGGCTTGGAAAAGCAGCTGGGCTATGCCAGTGAATGCTGAGAGCTGAAAATTATTTCCCTAGACTATTTGGAAGGCTGAGCTATACACAAAACACCCAGACTGCAAACATCTCACTAGTTACTGACTGCCAAGAATGGTGCATATTTTCAAATATGCAATGTAAACTAGTATTTTCAAATATGTATTTTTTACATTTTATTCTCAAACCTGGCTTAATACCTGAGTTTTGAGTTTGCTGCCTCACTTGGACTAATCTTTTTTACTTTCCCCATAGACACAAGAATTAAATGGTGTCACTCATCAGGAGACTTATGAACCTTGCAAAGCTGCATGCAAAATACTTTATATAATATGTACAATTATGACAATTCTGGGGGAGAGAATTCAAAGCTTTCATCTTGTTCAAAGGGAGTCCAAGAAAAGATTAAGGATCTTTGATATAGAAAAAAATTTAGGAGATTATAACTGCAACGTATACTGAGGCCAGGCAAGAAACGTACGTAGACAAGGTATTAATCAAGAGGAAGTGGTGGAGCCGGGTGTGGTGGCACAAGTCTAGAATCCCAGCACTTGGGAGACAGAGGCAGAAGGATCACTGTGAGTTTGAGGCCAGCCTGGGTTACATAGTGAGTTCAAGGCCAAGATGAACTAAATAGTGAGACCCTGTCTCACAAAATTTAAAAAAAAAAGAAAAATAGTGGTGGGGCTGTGGCATCCTCAAGTGCATTTACTCCAACTGAAAGAGTAGCTGTGTCTTGGACGATCACCGGAGTAACAGTGGATGGGAACATGGGTCCAGTGCTTCCAGATCTTAATTTTTTTTCAGAGAAATCCAGAAATATTCCAAATTTTACATGCTTAAGAACACTGACACCTAAACAAATAAACATTATATGGTACAAAAAATGAGTGCTGCTTTGTCCCTCAGCCTGCTAGGCTTCAAAGAAGTCAGGCATTTCAAAATTTAGTTAAATGCAAAAAAACAAACCCCCCAAAACCCCACCTTAGTTAAATGCATAAATAAAAACAATTAAATGCTCTCTTTAGGTTTCCAATAAGCCAAGAACACCAAGACTATTTAAAAATAAAGTTCTTCAGCTGGAGGTATAATTTAGCGGCAGAACACTTGTCTAGCATGCACAAGGTCCTGGGTTTAACTCTTTCAGCACTGCTCAAACCAGCAACAACAGGAGCAGCAGCAGCAGCAACAACAACAACAACAACAACAGAACTTCCACAGGACTCTAGTCTGACTGGTGTTTGGCACTTGGGAAGGTCAATGGCCAATTATGACAGCTCTGCAAACCAAGCAGTTACAGACTACAGTAGATCCTGACAGCTTCCTCTTCCCCCAGCCAACGTCTAGGACTTCATAAAGATGAGGCCTTTTCTGAAATAACAGAGAAAAGCATTCTAGAAGATAGCATGTCAGGACCTCTAATTACATGGTTATATAAAACTTCAACTTTCAAGCTGACAACACTGATGACTAATGTCACGCCACATTTTACCAATTGCCAGAATTAAGCTGTGTACAAGAAACAATGGAATTCATGAAGCGGCATACCATACTCAGGTAAATGACATTTTTGCACACCAAATTAATCTCTATCTACAAAAAGGAACTTGCTCTTTAAAGGAGCTTTGCAATATAACAATAAGAAAAAAACCATTTTCAAGTTCAACTAAGTCACAAGTTCCTATTTAAACATACTGGCCTTTTAAAATATGGTTCAAATACCCAATCAAACCTTTCCCACAGCACTTGGCCCCTGGCCCTGTGGCAAATTTGCAAGGCAGGTGTGTAGCTAGTCTGGAGTTCTGTGGAGGAGTGGAAGTGGGTTTAGAACCAAAAGCAAAGAGACCTGAAGGCAGCTGCCAAATGTGCAGTGGAAAGGGCAGCCTGCAACTAGAAATGAATGAACTACTGAAAACATGAACAAAACTGACAACCACAGTTTTTCCTGAGGACTCTAGATGACATTTCAGTGACCAAATAGCCTCTTTTCTCCCTTCTATGTCCTAGATAGAACTTTATTTCTAACATGTTTGAAAATGGGATTTCCCTCATGAGACATTGTATGTTGCACAAATGAAGACTTCAGCTATGGTAGATGGTGCTAGAAGCAAAGCAGTACAATGAAGCAATACCACTTTGAGAATACTGAAATCTTTCCACCCAACCAAACATACACATTCCAAGTGAGGAAATTGTGTGTGTGTATGGTGTGATGCATCTAGGTTTCCATTTTTCCCATAATTAGAAAAGAATAATATACATTCTTCTGGACTCTTTAATAGTCATAGAGAATATCCAGGTACCTGTTATCATGCTGGATATAATTAATGGCAAAATGATGAGTTTCAGCATCCTCATGAGAATTTCTCCAGGAAAAGCAAAGTAAAATTTATCTAGATTTGAGAGCTCGCTGTATTCTCGAACCAAGATTCCTATGACAATGCCTAAGGAAAACAAAGAAAAAAGAGAAACATTGTTTAGGTTTGGATGCAAAAATACAAAAAAACCTGTAAATTTTAATGGCAAGAAAAACAGTTTAGATCATTCCCCATGAGTGTGTAAATTTTTTTTTTTTGGTACCAGGGATTGAACTCAGGACCTTGCACTTGCAAGGCAGGTGGCAGAACCACTGAGCTAAATCCCTGGCCCAATGTGTAAAATTTAGACTTAAGCCCCACTATTTAAAGATTGCACATTAATCAGTAAATCTGTAAAAAATGTAATCTTCACATGAAAGCTTTTGTTCTCATTTCTCCTCTATAACTTATATTTATTGTAATGAAAAACATCACAGAATACTGTGGGAAAAATAATTCATTATCTCAGTCAATTGACTACAGCTACTTTATTCTGACAAACACCACTTTATTGGGCGACTATGTTCTCAAATGCTTTGCATTCTTTCCAGTTATTTCTAGGTAATGACAAGCTCAAGTTTACCTGATCAAGAGGCTTTTTACGAAGTTTCTGAACTTGTGTTCCTTGTACATAGTAGCTTATAATTATGTGATTACAGGTATATGTTCATTATTAAGAAATATTACACATTCTCTAAAATCTTGCCTTAACTAGATGACTATATGAAATCCTCCAACTGTGTGGAGGACAAAATTTAATGACTCTCATAACTAAAACTCATAAAGAATTAACAATTCCTCTTTATCCCGTTCCAGATAGTTCTAACAACATCCAACTATCTACCCTCCCTTCCCCACTTTTTTTTTCCATACTTTTTTTTAAACCAAGAAATAAATGGATTGAGATGATGCTCTCATCTTTTTTCCTTCATCAACCTCTGATGCATGACATGCTAACTGGAAGTAAAATGATTAAGTGGCAGGAAGATTCAAGGAGGGTATTACTGGATATGAAATTCACAAATAATTACTTTGTGGAAATTCAGAATTGTCTGGAAATCATTAAATTATAGGGCAATCAAAAGAGATATGAATTATAACCAATACTAGAATATTCATCTAAATTCAGGTATCCCTCCTTTGCCCACTAGTAGAACAAATAGATGGGCCTCACATATGACATATGTTATGTAACAAACTCATCTTTAGCTTAATTTTATTTTCCTACATATTCTACTTTTACTTTGATCTCTTTATTTCAGTATTACTGAATGCACTTCTGGTCATAAACATTTCCCAAATTGTGGTTAAGACAAAAAAAAAAACCCTAACAACTATTATCAATCCAATTTAGTTCACTTACTAAAACCTAGTATTAAAGATTCACAAATGGTTAAGACGCCAAGGATCCTTTTTCCAAGGAAGTACAAGGTAACCTGAGCCACAAGAGGTGCTAGGGATTGAACCTGGGGCCTTGTGCATGCCAAGCACGGCACCAAGGATTCAAAATATTTTAAGTGAATTTAGAAGGCATGATGCACTCACTTTCTGCCTTATTAATTGTCTGTATTCAGCTGTATTTTGCCATAGGGATATCTGTAATCCTCAGGGCTTTACTACTATTTAGTTTGCTTCAAGTACATTTTTGGCTTGTTTGTCAAAGAAATCTCAGAATGTAAAAATAAACGTGTGTCTGTGTTCAAAAACCAGCCACAAAAGCACTCTGCTGAGTTAAGACAGAACCCCATGTGCCCAACCATAGGGCTTATGTTACTAATAATGAACTGTGCCTCTAATTAACTTCACCAAAATGAGTGCAGGGTGGTTAGATAGAAATATTCTTGCTATTTTCCAGTCCTTAGCCACATGTAGGGTTTTATGGCAGAAACAAGAGTTGCCACTTGGAGTGGTTTGGAAGCAATCCAAGGTAACACCTACGATGAAAACTGTAGGTTGTTGTATTTGGGAATTAAAACTTTTATCAAGCTTGTTCTTTAAGTAGAGTACCACAAACTGCACTGCTGTATTTCTTTATTTTACTGAAAATAAGAATAGAAATGCCAACCAAGTGCTAGAAAAGCAGCCGGGGCAGGGTGGGGGGGCAGGGTGGGAGGTCACAGATGTCAACCTGAAACCCTTGGATACCCGAAGTGCCTGGTGAACGACCTCATCCAGGAGTTAAGCCTTTTAAATGGGTGTGTTTTATTTTGTCTCGGGCAAGTTTGGAAACATCAGAATCAGGTCAAGGAAAAACACTGCAAGATTTTCCAGGTCCCAAGATATGATCAGGAAATCACAGGGCACAACACTTCCCTAACCATTCACAGGGCTGGATTAAAGTGTGTAGAGAAAGCTTGTTGGGAATAATTGCCCACTGTGTGTGTGGGATGGGGGTGGGAGGCATGGGCCTAGCCCACCTGTAGGGCCATTCCCAGAATGAGAGAAGGCGAAGACCAAAAACCTCCCTGAATAGTGGGGTTCTAGGGAGGCCTATAACAAGGTCAACAAACAGTCCTCAAAGGTAAAGTAGTCACTCAGACCTTTGCAGCCCCACCAATGGACCCAGGACACCACTTACGGGCTCCCTTCCCCCACACAGGCAAGATGATCCCAACCAGATAAAAAGAGAACATGGGAAGAATACTGGTGTTAGACAAACAGGATGAAGTTCTGGTTCTAGCACCCGAGAGGTGTGTGACCTGGGTTAGAGCTTGAACTTAACTTCCTTCTCAAATTGTGAGGAAGGGGTTAGATTAGCTGCCTTCAAAAGTCCCTCTGAATGCCCATGATGCTGTGATTACCTTGGAGCCTTGTTTTCCTCAACTTTAAAAGGGATCACAGGATCTCAGCTCCAAGAAAACTGTCCATGTTTTCTCTAGCTTTTATATTAAATACAAATATGTTGGTAACAAAGAAAAGAAACAAATATGGGAGGAAGACAATCAAAACCTCAGCTAGGGATTCTGTGGTTCAAAGATGCAAGTTAAAAAGAGAAGATGGGGGCCAGGGATTTAGCTCAGTGGCTTTGCCGCCTGCTGCGCAAGCTCAAGGACCCGAGTTCGATCCCTGGTACCAAAAAATAAAAAATAAAAAAAATAAAAAGAGAAGATGAACAGAATGGCCTCTCTTCCTGCCCAAGTTGTCTGGAGAAACATCTGCTGGGCTTGCAGTCTGTCTCAGAGATTCTGGGGTGATTTATTTCTAGCTTAAAAATTAATGTTTGCAATGAAATACTGAAAATCTATGCAGAAAAAAAGGTATGCATCATCACATCAACCTGTCTCTTCCTCCCCTGTTTTGTCCAAGTCCAAACTGGCTCTTGGGGCTCACACTTCTTGCAGCTATGAAATTAGCTTGGGGATGGAAATTGAATTGTATTTGACTCAGACTTACGAAAATGCCATTGTTCCTGTATGGAGGAATTTGAAGAAAAGAGATTAAAGTGTGTGTGTGTGTGTGTGTGTGTGTGTGTGTGTGTGTGTGTGTGTTTTCAACAGTTTTCCAGTACACAAATTAATTCTGGCTTGGTTAAATAAGAATTACTGACAAAGGAAAATATTGAAAATAGTTATAATTAACACTTTAAATAGTTATCAAGCTTGCCATCATGCTAATTAATATGTGCCCTTTTGCCCTTCTGGAGCTGCTCATGATAACTTATTATGACAAAATACATAAACTGGATAGATGCCAGGATGGTTTTCCTACCCTGTCCTTATACTGAAATACATCTGTATCCTTTGCTCATCCTTTTCTTGTCCCTTAAAGATCTTAGTAGCTCCAGTGATGCAAGCTCTTTACAGGAATTTTGGCTCAAAACCCAGATGCCTGGGTCTCTAAAGCTTTTATTTATTTAATCCTTAAAAAGTATTTACTATACTAGCAATATTAGTTATAGCTCTACTGGAAATAAAAATAATTATAAAAGTTCATTCACATGTTGGACGTGGTGGTGCACTTTTAATCCCAGCACTTAGTAGGCTGAGGCAGGAGGATTGCTATGAGTTCGAGACCAGCCTGGGCTACATAGTGAGTTCAAGGCCATCCTGAACTACACAGCAAGGCCCTATCTCAAAAAAAAAAAAAAAAAAAGTTCATCCACAAACTCACTAACTCCAATATATGTTAACATTGTTATTTTTAACATACATTGCAATCAAGCATAATATACTGGTTAACAATAGTGAGCCCATTACTATATGTCAGGTGTTGCATTAAACACCTTGAATAAATTAGCTCTTATATATAACGTCTTGTAACTGTTCCTCATTTTTTGAGACAAAATACTGCAAATTACATTTCCTGTGGATAGTGGACAGAGTCATCCATATAGGAAAACATTTATTATTGCAATAATAAACTGTATTATTGTGACTTGTCCCTTTCAAAGCCTCTAGCATTCAAAATAGTGCCTGGGACATGTTCATTTGTTACTGCTTTTAGATAATATAAAGAATGTGTTTAATGTACTTTTTTTTGCTTAAACTGCTTTCATTGAGTCATCTCTCCTTTTTGAGTACCCCTACAATTAATTCAGTCTGACTGAAGAAGAAAGTCGATCTTATCAAGGATCTAGTGGGTTCCTCTGGCATAGAGATTTGGCCCACAGGGTAAACGGCTTTGACCTGGCACATTACTGAACTGAACCAGTTCTCTGTGGCCAGGAAAAGGGATGACCGCCCCTCCCAGCATGGATGGATCTGGAAGAAGCTCTTGAAACAATGGTTACACTTTATTTTGCATCATCACCGTACTAGGTACCCTCAGTTATCCTTTCAATCCTTTAAAAATTAGTGGTCCATACTGGAGGACTTTGCTGTCATTTTTGTATGTGAACTTTGAAACAATTTCTATGGACCTTTTGTGGGGATGTTGACTAAAACAAGAGCATGATTTGATGATCTGAACTGAAACTTCTAAGAGAGGGTGCAATAGGATAGAAAATATAGTACCCAGTACTCTGTAATAGTCTAGTGTATTGATCACAGAGGTTCGGAAAACATGTGAATAATTAATGTCATAACAAAACCAGCATGGTTTATGGTGTATGCAAAGTTTATAGACGGCCTTCATTACAGCAGGGTAGA